ACCATGGTGCTAACAGGACCATGGTGCTAACAGGACCATGGTGCTAACAGGACCATGGTGCTAACAGGACCATGGTGCTAACAGGATCATGGTGCTAACAGGACCTTGGTGCTAACAGGACCTTGGTGCTAACAGGACCATGGTGCTAACAGGACCTTGGTGCTAACAGGACCATGGTGCTAACAGGACCATGGTGCTAACAGGACCATGGTGCTAACAGGACCCTGTTAGCACCATGCTGCTGTAGATGTGTTTCTTTTTCCACTTTTGGCGCCTTGTTTTTTACTTTTGTTGCATGCTTTGGTATTTCTTGTTCTTGTTTCTGGCGAGCCGAGACGGTTCTTCTCGTCCTGATCGTTTCATTGCGTTGTTGACCTTGTGTTGATCTGCACATGACAAATAAACCTAAAACTACCTGTGGGTTTTATAGACAAAGTAAGTTTCTTTAGGCTGCCCCCTTCTTTGTTTTATGCCGGATGCCCTTCCTGATGCAACCTGGGCTCGAACCCACAACCTCAAGATTGTAAGACCGTGGCACTGACCAAGCCTCTGCAGCGTGTGGGTTTGATAGAAATGTAGTTAAACACTGACGAAGCGAACAGAGGAGCAGAGGAGAATGGCTCTGAAAGGTAATCTTGCTGCGCAGATTGTGTGAACATTCCCAACAATCTGTCTTTTCTCTGCCCTGCTGGAACCCACTGGGCCTGTGAAGACTGAGACCTTTTGTTGCCCCCACGTCACATTTCCAGCCTTGGCTTGCTAACAGAAAGAACCAGGTTTTCTGAACACTTTCAACAACTCCCCCTTTCTGACCCGTCGCTTTCTCCATCCCCTAACCCCCATCTCTCTGTAGGCTGCTGGACCAGGGTCCTTTCCTTGGTCCAAAGGGGATAAAGGTCCCAGAGACAGAGCTGTTAATTCAATCAGGAGAGGGGTATGCTCAATTAGGCATCTATAAGGGCCCAGAATGGGTGTGGGGGCCCTTCAGAGGGCAGGCTGCCCCATCCCCAGGAGGTATTAATTGTGGATGACAGTGTGTAAACAGTGGGGTGAATAGACGGTGCAGGTGCGGGACCCAGAGTCCAGCCTCTATAGGTCTTTTCACACCCGTGACTCCCTTTTTCCCCCCTCGCGCTTTGTGGACCCCCCCCCCCCCCCCCCAGCTCTGATAAATGTCGAGGATAAACTGGCTTAATGCTTGTTTCTTAGCTGCTGAGCGTTGCCATCACGGAGCGTGCTTCTACATCAGTGTCCTCCGTTGGAGCTTGTGTTTGGAGACCTCCTCATTTTCAAATTTAGTGAAAATTACAGTAAAATATGTGGAATTTATGAAAGGACGTCCAGATGACACTTTAAAGAGAGGGGTCTTTCTTTGTGACCTGGGATTGTTTCCTCTTCTCCCCCCGTCTGCCTTTCATTCAGCGCTGTCTATCTGTCTGGTTCATGTGACAACACGAAGTTCTGGCGTGGAGTCCGGCACCGTTCAGAGCCGCGGTGCTGGAAGAAGCATTCGCGCAGGGCAATTATGCGAATGTCGCGGAACATCTGGACCAGCATACCAAAAAGCAAGCCTCGGGTTTAACAAAAGACAAAGGCAGTTTTTCTCCTTGCAAAAAGAAAGAAGGGGAAAGTTTATTCTGCTACAGCTGTAAGCTGTCAGTGAAGGGGACACCAAGTATATTCAGATGATTTGATGAGTTCTCAACAGCTGAGGGCTGAACCCGTTCGTTACAAGACGATATATTTGGTATTGGTGCAACTTTAGCTTTTTGAAATATTTAGCCTTTTCTGCCATTTTTTTTCCTCATAGAAAATGAATTGAGCTCATTTTACATCCGTCAAATACTCAACGTTCCTCTCTTTGCTTCGTCCGTAAGAAAATGAGTTTAAAAACTAAAAAACCTCTCTTCCTGTTGAAGCAGATGTTGGATTGGTTTCATCACTCTCAGAAATGTAGGGAAAACTCACCTGAGTACCTGTTTTTCGGATCATAGTTCATATCCATAATGTAAACTTTAACAGGTAAGACTGAATTGTTTGACATCAAAGAAACCAGAACTTGGAGGCTTTATTTGGACATTAACGAGCTACAGGAAGCTTGTCGAAGTAAAAACATTCTTACTGTTTATTGTACATGAATTGCATACGTCTGATAAAATAAGTACAACTTTAGCTGATATCAGCTAAAGAAGGCTGGAACAGCGTTTCTAACAGTTTTCAGATAATCACATTTGCTGATCTAACATTCAGTTTCATGAGTTCATTTTTCATGTCAGGCTCAGTTTTTTACTTTTATGCTACTTTTAGCTTCTGTCACTTCTAGCCTTTTACTACTTTTAGCTAGTCATTAGCTACATTTAGCCTTCCTTCTGCCACGTTTAGCTTTTTGCTAAACTTTTGCTTTTGTAGCTACATTTAGCTACTTTTAGCTTTTTAGCTATTCTTTTGGTACTTTTAGCTATCATTCTGCCACTTCTAACTTTTATCTTTTGTCACATTTAGCTTTTAGCTGTTTTTTTTGCTACTTTAAGCTTTTTGCCAGCATTTTGCTTTCTTATAGCTATGTCTGTGCTACTTTAGATAACCTTTTGGCACCGTTTGGCCACTCCTGACTTTTAGCTTGCCTTTGCTACATTTAACTTTTAGCTACAGTTCTGTTACTTCTAACTTTTTGCTAGTCTTTTGCTTTTTAGCTGCCATTTCACTACATTTAGCTAAACTTTTGGTACATTGTACCATTCTGCCACTTCTAACTTTTATCTTGCCTTTTGCCATTTAGCTTTTAGCTACAGTTCTGCCACTTCTAATATTTTGCTTTTTAGCTGCCCTTTTGCTACTTTTAGCTTTCATTTAGTGATTTAATACTCTTTTTTTTTTTGCCTTTTATCATTTAACTGTCAATTTAGTTTCAATCTTTAGCTAGAATATTATTTTAGCTGTTTTTTATGCATTTGTTAATCAGATGGGGGAGTGGTGGTGCAGAGGCTAGAGAAGATGGGCCTGTGATCGGAAAGTCACAGGTTCAACTCCCAGTACCATCAACATCAAATTGTGGGTGGAAAAGGTGAAACACCTCCACCTGCCTCCACCCTCACTCGCCTGTTTAGCTTTTAACAAGTGTTCTGCTTTTGTAGCTTTAACAGCTGTTTCAGCTTCTACAGACTTCAGCTGTCATTCAGCACAGGGTTTTGAAGAAATCAACCAAAGATGTGGAGTTTCAGCTGAATTCTCTCACACGCACGTACGCACACACACACTGCTTTTCTCCTCTGAAGCTCCGCCCACAGGCGGTTCGGCGCTGTGACCAGAGGTGGGCGGAGCTTACCGTCCAGCCCTGCTGCCATTGGTCCGCTGCAGTGTCAGTCAACTAGCTGCGCTTTAAATGAAGCGGATTCGGTTCTGGGAGCCAGTCGAGTTGGATCTCCCGCCGTCTGGCATCACCATGGCCACGGTCCAGTCCTGATGTTCGGTACCGGACGGGCAGTATGTGAATAGAAACGCAAAACATTCAGAAAGAGAGAAAACTTTATTTTTTTTGAAAACGCGTCGGTTTTTGTTTTTGTTTAAAATCTTCCTCCCGGTTCGGACCCGGTTCTGTCAGACCCACCGGCTGCGGTCAACATGTTCCTGTCAGGCAGCTCTGTGGGCACCTTGTTATGGGTTTGGACCCCCCTTTTCCTGTGTCACCTGGCCCAGGTGTCGGCGCAGAAGTCTGGTTCCCGGGTGAGTGGATCCTGTTCGGTACCGACCGTCCGTGGGTGGTTCGGTTCTGTCAGCCGGGCCTGAGCGGGCCAGCTGCAGGACTCAGTTCTTTGACAACAAAACTTGTTGCACAGTTTTCAGTGTTAGTCAACTGGCGGCTCTGTCAGCAAAATATCTGTTACCTGAGGAACATTTCAGCTGGGTGGACACCACAGCTGAAGACACTGAGTCCATCAGTTCAGATGTAGCTAAAGTTTGGGGTGGTAGTAGCTGAGAGTCGCTGAAGACTTTAGCTGTTTGATGTTCTGAAAGTTTTGGTGGTGGTTTCACGCTGGTTGTCCATCCTGTTACAGCCTGGGCTCAAACCTGCAGCCTGAGGATTATGAGGCGGCAGCACTGACCGCTGAGCCACCACGGCCTCTTGAAGACTTCGGTTGGTTGGATCTTAATTTAATGTCTGCCGTTTATGAGACGTGGACAGGACGTTGGACATGCGCCGAGTGTTGCTGGGGTTGGAGCGAGACTGTCCTCCATCACAACATCTGTCCTGTGTGTCCCTCGTCCTCGTCTCACCTGTTCGGTTCCTGTAAGAAGGACCCTCAACACCTTCCAGCCACAAGAGATCTATCAGTCAGCCCAGGAACCTTTGAGGTCATGGATGAAGATGACTCGGTCTGTCTGTGTCCAACTGATACTTTACAAACTAAACTGTACAAAACTAAACTGTACAAAACTAAACTTTACAAAACTAAACTGTACAAAACTAAACTGTACAAAACTAAACTTTATAAACTAAACTGTACAAAACTAAACTGTACAAAACTAAACTTTACAAAACTAAACTTTACAAAACTAAACTTTACAAAACTAAACTGTACAAAACTAAACTTTACAAAACTAACCTGTACAAAACTAAACTTTACAAAACTAAACTTTACAAAACTAAACTTTACAAAACTAAACTTTACAAAACTAAACTGTACAAAACTAAACTGTACAAAACTAAACTGTACAAAACTAAACTTTACAAAACTAAACTGTACAAAACTAAACTGTACAAAACTAAACTACA